GGCGTTTTCTTTTCAGCCTTGATGCATATCAACAGGTGTTTGGCTAGCGAAAAAGCCCAGCTTAAAAGAGAGCGACAAAGATTTTAATTCTCGCCCTCCTCAAAGCTGAAACTTTCATGTGCTCCCGGCAACTTTGAACAGGGGCCCAGGGCTACAACACGAGCGTGACTTCCAGTTATGTCAATATCCAAAAGACATTTTTACAACGATAAAAAGCTAAAAATATTTCTTTTCTTCCGCAGGTTTGTAAACGGCATGGTTTACTATGGTGTTTCATTCAGCACTCCGACACTTGGTGGAAACATGTACCTGAATTTCTTCCTGGCCTCCATTATCGAGATTCCCGCCAATTATGTTGGTATCTGGGCCTTGGGCAAGTGAGTGGTGCCTCTGCGCTAAGGCTTTTGGCGGGAAATTTCTTTTAAACTAAGTTATTTCTTCATTGGAGCGATTTTCATTTAATTGTCGAAAAGTAATTGGTTTGGCATCAGCTACGCGACACGATTGGCTTAAAAAACTCGCGCCACTTTTTCGTCCAATCAGAAGTAAACCGAAACCAATCATGACCCGTTCGCACACCTTTTCCCGCGCCTTTCGTCAGCCAAGTGTAATTTCTTCGAGGTTTGATTGGTTCACTGGATTGTGTGCGTCCTTTGTGATTGGACAGAGTAATGATGACTTCGGTTTTGGTTTTACGACACCCAATTGTAAACCGCCCTAGCAGTCGGGTTTCACCTGTTGCTTCACGCCGGAGGTTTTTCCCGTTTTATCAATAGTTGTAGGTGCTAATGACATTATCTGCTCTAGGTTCGGCCGAAAAAGGCCGCTGGTTTATTGCATGATTATTGCTGCCATTGCCTCTGCCGGCGCAGTGTTGTTTACAATGTATGACCCCGGTGAGGACAAAGGTAGGTTGGTCCCGATCCATTTGACTGTAACTTAAAAAAGAGCCAAGAACAGAAGGAAAAAATCCTTCAATTACATTTTATTGACAAGTAGTAAAGTTAACTGAGGCTTCCATTTTCAAGCCAACAAACTTCTTAACATGACGTTTATCCATGCGGTGGTATGATAAACTGTATTACGTAACTGCACTGATTTTATTGTTGTCTGCAGGTTTCATGGTTGGCCGTATTATCATGGCATTGTTAGCCAAGTTCTTTATATTCATTTCATTCGATGCCGTGTATGTGTACGCTGCTGAGCTCTTTCCCACAGTCATCAGGTATGGTATGATCCGTGCTTCATATCCCGGAACGGGAAGGGACTCCCACATGAAGAGGTTGGGCAAGTTCGTCATCTCGCTTAGGGGCATAAATCAATGATTCTGGACTCACTTAGGGTGTTGATGACGAAACGCCAGTATTTTTGGCTGCCAAAGTATCTTGTAGAGTGCACTCGAAGAAATAATGATAAAAACGCTCTTAATTCTGTTTTGAGGCTCGATTTCGCAGGTCTCTCGAGTCCGGTCACCTAGCGCGGGTTCCCTTCCTGAACAGCGGCTGTTAATCAAGCCTATTTCATTTTTAAGTGGTATCTTTTTAAGAGTCAAATAAAGCTTGAGTCACGCCCAGATTGGTTTCCTTTATTTAGGGGTTGAATTCAAATTTTCTCACGAGCATCCCTGACTTTTTCATATGGAGTCTCTGTCCCCCGAGGAGTTCATATTTAGTCTTCATGTCCCTAGCCTATTCCCTTGATCGCATTCACTGTATAAGCAAATGAAATGTTCACATATCAAACAAGTTGTTCTTTCTTCAAAATAGAGTTCTTTAGCCAGTCTTTGCGTTTGCCCTACCATTTCTGAAGTTTGCACAGATGCAAGAGATCAGTAAAATATTTTTCCCAGCGAAGTTTGTCTTTTTAGATGATTTTCTTACATTCATAGGTCAGTTTCCATACAGATTGTCTCTTAATGCTTCTTAAATCGAGCCCCGCCATAATGAGGCATCCCTGTGGAGCCATCAGACTTCTCAATTCTCCTTACCGGTTGCCACACTTTCTTTTAACACTAGCCATGAGAATCTAGCATTACATCAAGACAATATCTCCTTGTTGAGGATCTTTATTCTCATTACTTGCCAGCCCGCTTAATAATGAATCCAGATTAGGAGAAATAAGATCTCGATCATTGTTGTGTTCATTATAGGAACATCGGCATGGGATCATCAACAGCAGCTGCGAGGATTGGGTCATTTTCGTCTCCTTATATCATCCATCTGGTGAGAAATTTTATGATAAATCAGCAAAGATTTTTACGATTTTATATCTCCGTTTTTTCCTTGGTTTTTAGATTCGATTGGAAAGAATACCAAACACTCAAGACAGTGTTTGACCACATTTCCAAACACCTCGAAGTTCGTCCAAAATACTCCGCTGCGCGTCGTATTTTAAACTCTCTCTTGGTGTTTGGAAATGCGGTATCCCTAGACGTTTTTTAAAGCCTTTATCCTTCCATCTCCCACAGTTATGTCTTAAAATCATCAAAAACATTCCCAGCGTTAAAGGCGCCTTGAAATCTACATAGCCAGAAGATATGATTGATATTACCACATAGCTTCAATATAATTCACTTTCTTTTCTGTTATCATCTCTCAGCGACTCGTGCATCCACTCCTCCCGTATGGCATCATGGGAATTAACGCGCTGTTAGCGGGTTTGTTGTCTCAGACGCTGCCAGAGACGAAAGGAATGCCAACCGCTGAGACAATGGACACCGACAGCGCAGAAGAGGCCTATATGACATTACAACTGACAGACCCCAAAGAAAAGGACCCAGAGGAGATGAAAGACCTCTCCATGGCTGATGCCGTCAACGACACCACCGGCAGCAGGGCTCATCTTGTGGATGATAAGAATCCGTCTTCTATATGAACTGGCCTGGAGACTTTCTAAAGCAAACTGGTGATTTCATGAGTGATGTAATAAAACCTAGATGTAAGAAACTGCCGATTATGAACCCCCCAGCCGCTAAAAATTGGCTACATGAGCACCATATATACTAAGGAAAACAAAGGAATCTATATTCTAAAGAGCCATATTTGTCAGCTTTGGAGCCATAGGAAACATATAGTATAGTAATATAGTAAAACCTAAATCTATGTAACAGAAACAGTATTATTTAAAGCTTATTAAAACACATTTTAGTAGACACACCATTCAGAGAATTACTGATTGTTTTTACTCTGTAATTAAGAACCTGTTCACCCTGACCTCCTGTAGATAGCCCGGCATTACATTCGGATTTGTTGCGGATTTATTTTTTCCACTCTGGAGAGCGGATTAAAAAAAATATCCGGATTCGCTGCCGAATTCGCCGGGTGCATGTGGACGGGAAGCCGTATCCGGAAAGAAAAACTTGCGGATTCAAAAATATCCGGATACGTGTGGACGGGGCCTGAAATAGTCAGCGAGAGTGCCGCAAGTAATCAGGAATTGCTTCTTCTTTGCGTTACCGTTCTGTGGTTGATTAAACGGCTTGTCCCAAACACTCAACCGTATTCAAAGTGACAAAAGAAAACGAGTTAGAAGTTTTGTCTCGCACATTTAAATTTCCCGCGCTTAGTGCTGATATACTTTGCTTTGTGCTCTCATTAGCTCTCATTGTTTCATTGTGTTTTGCATTTCTAGTTGTTTGCCAATGTAAAGTTTTTTTGGTTCCGTCATGAAATCCGCCATATTATCGCAGCCGATAGCAGATCTTACAATA